TACAACACAATTTGATTTATGAAATAATATGCAATAATCCTCAATGTTACTGGGGCATTAACAGCCTTGAGATTGAGACAGGTTGTATCGAAAATACTATCAGAGAAATTGGCTGTCATGCATGTTGTGAGGGAAATCTTGTATGCAGGGGTCAGTGGACCCAGGCCTGTGGGCTGGGTGGACGGGGGTGTGTGCTTTGCCCATTGTTACATGCCAGCTCTGTTACAAAGGATGTGCAAAGGAATGGCTCTATTTTTATTTCATGCACAATTCTTTAATACATATTTGTGAGGTTACTTCATATGTTGATTAACAAAATGAGGACAAGGTGCTCGGAATGCAAGAAACTGATACTGGTAGCTGCTTCATTATTGAAATTAATTGTGTCTGCACTTATTGTCAAAGTGGATCTTAAGTTATGGATGAAGAAGAGAAAGGGAAAGTGTGCCCATCTTTATGATCAAGTAGCACCTGAAGCTCTTGGAAACATCAGGGATGTGATTTATTTTCAGATTTTGTCAAGTTTACAGCTCTCTTGGACATTTAACTCCTTTTTTCATTTCATGACATGATTTCTTGAGATCTGTCTTTATGTTTTCCTCATCACATCCCTGACATCGTGGCTGTAAATATGACAATAAACCTTTTTTTGTACTTAAATGGACTGCGTTGTTTATCGTTCCTTAAATCATTTAAAAATAGTAGAGTATTGACAGGAAATACCACTGCATTTGTACAACAAATAATCAAAAAGTGCAGTATATTAATGTTCATCAGTTTATTATGAAATCTTATGAAGACACATTTTAGAAACAATTCTACAATGATAGTTATAAATAAAAGTTAAAAAGTGGTAAGATCTCTTGATTCACTCGTGTTACAAATAATAATTGTATCCACATATGAAGTTCCATTAAGACAAATAGAGTGAGTACCAATAAATACTGTACAGGTATACATTCACTCCAAAAGCACAGCACCACTCTGTTGTGAGTAGGTTTTTAAAAAAAAATGGAAAATAGAGATATGAACATGTTTTCTTGCGTCCTTGTCTTCTTGCATACTTTATGGCTTTGGTCTGGTTCAAGAGCAGTCACTGTTTCCTTTATCCACTCTGTAGACAGAAGAAACATTAAAGATCAGATCCATGTTGGTGGCATGATTTGGCATCATTTGGATAAAACATAATCCCACCCATAAATTACTAAAACAGTTCTTACTCCCGATGGTACTAGTCATACTTACTTGCATTGGCTCCAGGAGCTAAATTGGCCTTTGGTGTATTTGTCCTGAGCTCGCACGCAGAAAACAAACTTATTGCTTTTGACCATGACCTGATAATTGGTGTCCTGAGTTGTGTTAAGCTGCACAAAAGAAGAGAGGACACATTCAAGAGAATGAATTGTGGTTTAACTGCAAGTCAGCATATGGTTAGTGTGACTTTAATATAGTCTCATGTACATTGTGCATGTTTTGATTACCATTATGATCTCTTCACTGTCACAGGTATGATATTTTTTGACAATCTTGACCTGGAAGTCCAAGCCAAAGAAGGTTCTGGGCACCTCCCAGGACTCGGGGTAGCTCCAGCTGAACACCTTCTCATCCCCCAGCTGCAGGTTAGGGAGTGTCTCAGGCCTCACTATAAAGGGTGAGGAGGGAGAGGAATGAGGTGGAGAAGGGTGAAACAAGCAGGATTGCAACAGTAGGTAAAACAGAAGAAAAATAAGCAGCGTCGGGGGGAGTTTGGGTATACTACAAACAACTTTTTACTTTGGAAGAAGTTGAATTACAGCCAAGCTAGTGTGGGGAGGAATCTAGTTTGTTTTACTAAATATATGTAGAAATAGCAGTCCTAACTACTCTGGATTAAAAACAAATTGTCAATGTATGTGATACAAAATTATAACTAAACATTACACAAAAAAGTCACATGCCAGCTAAAAATAATTATATGATCTATTGAATTCATTTAGAAATGGCAGCCCTTTTAAATTAAGAATAAACAAAACTCCACTAAAATGTTTCCAACTTAAACAGAGGTCTAAAAAATTATCTAAAAAATTATAAAAAGCATAAATAACGGGCCTATATTTGTATTCGTCAGAGCAACCAAAGATGGCTAAATACAATAGAGAAGCAATTTGTGAAAAAAAATCATTCCTAATAACAGTCATTTACTGTTAAAAGTAATTTAACCACTTAAATCACGTTGCAAATATTACAAAAAGTGTCTTTTTAATATTCTAAATCCTTCACAACATGTTGCACATTTCTGCTCCATGCTGCCTCTTTTTAAAGCAGCATAACTCTCCACTTTGAATATGGTATTGTCATATTGTATTACATTTCACTGCAATCAGTTTCCTACAGAACTATATTTTGTGTAAATATTGTCTTTATTTTTCATTTGTTGCAATAGTCTTAGCTTTTTTTTCTTCGCTTGAACTATTCATTTTTTAGGTAACGTATTGTTCTTTCTGTGTCTCTGTATGCACCCCTTACACCAAAGCAAATTCCTCGTATGTGTAACCCTACTTGGTGATACAACTGATTCTGATTCTGACATGTTTAATTAAGCTACTCCCAATAAGAAGACACAAAATACAATCACTTACCGATGTCTCTCAGGTAGAAACTCTTGCCGTAGGCCTCGAGGAGAGAGAAGTTGTGGATGTAGATGGTGAGGGAGATGCTGTTCTGTTCCTCTTCGAATGGGCAGCGGTTCTCCTGGCAGTGAATCTCTGATCCATTAGCATCCAGCTCACAGGAAATCCTCTCTGAATTACTAGATTGAAGACAAACTGGTTGGAACAATACTATCTAAAACAGGTAACATGTCCTATTCCTGATTGAAATGAGCACAGATCATTAAGATGAGTGTTGTGTGAGATATGACGTCCTCACCGTTCTACTTTCACCAGGAGCACGGCGGCGTTGGTTCTGTACTGCGTTCTGGTCCAGGAGCAGTTGAAAGAGCCGTTATAGTTCGCTGCTTCACAGTGGATCTCACCTGGAGGAACAGAAACACAGTTAGCACTCTGAGTCCCTCTCTTTGTGTTAAATAATATTGTGAAGACTTTATCTCTATGTGTTGCGTTGAGAGCACTTTATATTGAAGGTCCCAGCATAACAACCATTAAATCATTGCAAACTTAAATTCAGGACATTTATTATATGACTGCGAACAAGCCATCAAACTGAGGAGAGGATTGTCAGCTTCATAACAGCCGCCTCACTATATTTCACATTTTGTTCAAGCAAATGGAAAAGGTATTTTTATCTGGAGTACACAATACTTTTGTGGACTAGGAGCAACACGTTTGGTGTTTTCTCTGACAATATGGTGATGGGTGTCAACTTTGGTTTGGTTAATTTATTCCGAAGTAATTTTTATCAAAGTATCAACATTAATGTAACAACGACACTGCTGTCTTGCTCATTTCTTCCTCTTTATGTCCGTTGTTTTCCCTTCCCATCATCACTCTGCTACTCCTTTCATCCACTTCCTTTCCCCACTCCTCAAGGTAAATGTCTGTTGTGTTGCCTGTCTGTTTTTATAAGAACATTTTCTTCCTCTGGCATTCTCTTCTTATCTCAGCTCTTCGCTGACATCCATAAAATATCTCACATGAAATGCATACTGTTTCTCGGTCTGTTTTATGTGTTTTTAAATGTTTTTTTTCTCCTTGCTGCCATACTCCATCTGTCTTATCTTACCCTTTCCAGGGGGGTTTTCTTCCAGTATCACAGTCTTGTTTTCTTGGTCTAGTTGGACCAGGATCACGGTGTGGTTGAGGTATTCTCCGTTCTGGCCGAGGTGACATGAGTAATTTCCTCCAGCCAACTCTTTCACCAGCACCTTGATGTCGTTTCCCAGCAGACCTGGCACTATTTCACCTAAAACAAGGACATAGGTCAATGTACATTAATGCTTTACAACTTTAAAGAAATACAGATTAAATTGCTATTCGACTGAAAAAATACTCGTTTTAATAGAAAATGTCCTGTAATCTCTCTTAAAGGTCTCCTATTATGCTCTTTTTTATCAATATATTATAGGTCTCGGATATATACAAAACATGTCTCTGAACTGTTTGGCTGAAATACCAAACAGATCGTGCATTGTGTAGCATCCCATAATCCCCTCTGTTTCAGCCCTGTTTCAAAAGGGCTGATTCTGTGTCTGTTACTTTAGATGAAAATAAGGAGCCACTCCCCTCTGAGAGATATTTGGTTAAAAAGAACACAATGGTACTCTAGGAGGAGATTCAGGTGATAAGGTGGGTGGGTGTTACCTTGGTTGGTGATTGGCTAATGGTTACACAAGCCAAAAAATCGTGGCTCATTTTCAGACAGGTTTTTATATAAATGGATCAGGACAGAAAGTGAGAAACGTTTTTTTCCTGAACTTTTCAGAATCTCTTTACACAGAGGGGACACATGTTTTGCATATTAGGTGACCTTTAAAAGTATCAGTCTTTGTAGAAGTATAACTAAAAGTAGTAAAAGTTGTTTTACCGTCTTTCTTCCAAACCACAGCTTGGTTTTCATAAGCTCCTCCACAGCTCACAGTAACGTTCACCTCCCTGCTCACACCTTTAGACCTCTTCAGCACCAGAACTAGTTCAATCAAAGACACACGCATTCATACAGGTTTGGATCAACATTTACTGTATGAAAGGCAAAGAGAAAAATGGAGAGGAAGATTAATAGTCAGTAGAGAAAGGAGGAGTTACCAACCATTATCCATCAGAGTCTCTACTTCGCCTTGGTCACTGTCAGAGCTGGCGTAGCAAAGACCAGCATACAGGACCACGAGGAACAGTGCACGCATCTGGAAGAAAATGTAATAAGGTAAGTGGAATCAAACTTGTATAAGTGTGTTATCACCTTTGTTTGGGAGATGTACATGAACAGAGGGAAATGTATTTGCTTGAACCTCAACTGCTCAGCTGATTTTGATAACAAACTGTTTTTCACCACCAGGTTAAAAAATATGATTTCACCTAGAACTATAACAAAGGTTGTTTTCATAGTTTCTAATACGTTTATATTCTAATTATACAACTAAAGTGAAATTAAGTTACAAAGTTAATTAATTGTTACAAAGTACAATATATATGTGTGAAGAGAAAATGTATTTTGGTTTCCCAAAAAGGAAATTCCAACAAAGCAGTGGTGCTAAACTGGTTTACCTTGTGATACCTTAAAACGAAATATGTCTGCTCGTGACCTCAAGCTGTTTTATTTTTTATTTTTAATATTTAGGATGCTGATGAAAAGATACTTGCGAGTACAGTTATTAATTAACTGGTAACTCTAAAATACCTTTAAGTAATTTCAATATTTGCACAAGTAACTACACGGAATAAACTGAAAGGTTGACTCTAATTAAATGTATTTTGTCAACGAATTTCACATAAGTGTATTAGGATAGTTGCAAGCAGTAATGTTAAGTTTAATAGGTTCAATTTAATATTATTGCTTTCAACAAAACTAATACAGTTATGTGAAATCTGTTGACATAATACATTTAATTAGAGTCAACGTTTTTCAGTGTAGTTAATGATGTTGTGTTCCCATTGAGTGTTTAAGGTGTGACTTGTAGATATTGTCTGAATTATTAAGAATCTGGCAATTTCTTTCTAAAGAGTAAAATGTTAATGTATGAAACAGGTGTTAATCTCAGAATACATACATAATACATGTACAAGAAACTAACATTGATAACAGAAATAAGTACATGAGAACTTACCTTGACAACTGGACTTGACCCAAAACTTTCACTTCAATCTGATCTGATGAGGATGCCAGAGAGGAAGGTTCAGTTTGTCTGAATCAACTCCTCATGCTGTGGCTGTATTTATACGGACAGAAGCAGAACGAGGTTGAACGATTTGAAAACCCCCAAGAGGAACTCTCTCACAAATATGTTTATGCGTGTGCGTGTGTTTGTGTGTGTGTAAATACCAGAGCTGATAATGTTAGATCCTTGTCCATCATTTGGAAAAGGATCAGTTTAAATAATTATGAAGCAAAATAACATGTCATGATATTTCTTCACCCATCACACTGTTTTCCATCTCGTGATTTAGGCAATCATGAGAAAGATGCAGTAAATCCAATTCATTAAAAAACATATTCCCATGAGAAATTGTGTGCATGGTTTTGCAGCCACAAAAACCATTGTGGAGGAAGTCATGAACAACCAAAGAGACAGAAACCTCTAAGAAAGGGAACTGGAAAAGCTCTAGAATGTGCACATGACAGTGGTGCGGCTCAAACAGGTACCTTGGAAAAATGGTCATGAGAGTTCTCAGGAACAGCAACAAGAAAGAAAAAGTTGGACGGATAAAACCTACATTCAAGTGGAAAAGGGAATGGAAACTTCGGTCTTAACCACTAACATTTTACTACGCCACTGAAGGTATCTCTGCAGCAGACCATTTCCTAGAAGTACACCTCTAATGTATTTATAGTTCTAGAGATTCAATTTAGCTGTGTGCTTGTTAAAAAAGGAAATAGATGACTTTTGCTCAGCGTTTGTGGTTTCAACAACATGTCCTTTGTATTCATAGATTCATTTTTACTAGTATGTTGTCACTTTACTTCTTCTTGGCACTACATTTGATACCATAGACTTGTCCAAAACTTCACTCTGAAAAAAAACTGAAAACTTCCAACACACCTCCCCAGACAATGAATCATAATCCCACCATAAAAGCTTCCATACTGAAATGTGTCAAAACAGAGAAATATGACGTTGAGACCTCGATCAGGTGAAAGATGGAGGTATTTCCCAAAAAAAAAGCCACAATTAAAGAGGTCACTGTGAGGGCTAGAGATGAAATGCCACACTGACCTAATAATGTATCACTTCCCCTCTGCCAGTCACTCATGACCTTTCACATTTAATAGCATGAAAGTGGATCATTAAATCTTCTTCCACATGGTTGACTGAGAAGCCTTGTTTAAAAGTGATATGATATAGTTAGATGCTGCGTATCACAGTGCAGTGGAGGTAAACGGTACTCGGTACTCTGTCCCCCCCCCTCCCAGTGAGCTGTGGTGTTCCACAAGGAAGCATATTATGTCCGTTACTGTTCCTAATTTATGTAAATGACATGTCATCAGCATGTGACTGCAACTTGTTCCTGTTCGCGGACGACTCAGCCCTGCTGGTCTCTGACAGGAACAGGTTGCAGGTTGAAAAAATCCTCAGCTCCGAGCTCGGCAGAATCTGCACCTGGCTCGCCGATAATAAATTATCATTACACCTGGGTAAAACAGAGTCCATTCTCTTCGGTTCGAAACATAATCTCAGCAAATCCGACGACTTCTCAGTTGCAGTGGGCGACATTATTGTCACAAGTAAGAAGGAAATGACATACCTAGGATCTATTCTTGAGGTAAACCTCTCCTGTGACAAAATGGCATCCAATGTAATAAAAAAAGTCAATCAAAGAACTAGATTCCTATACCGGATCTCCTCTCTGGTAAACAAAAACACCCTGAAAACTCTGGCAGGAGCACTCATTCAAGGGTACTATGACTATGCTTGCACGTCATGGTACCATAGCACCTCCAAGGCGCTAAAAATAAAACTTCAAACATCGCAAAATAAACTGGTCAGACTACTGCTTGACCTTTCATCTAGAACCCACCTCACCTCTGCCCACTTTGACAACCTAGGATGGCTTAGAGTAGACGACAGAGTACAGCTACTTGCAATGGGCCTGGTCTACAAGATCCACTACACCTCTATGGTACCCATGTACATGTCAAAATTCTTCCCAAAGGTCAAGGAATACCATGATCATAACACCAGAGGGAGCTCCACAAATCATGTGAAACCCAGATTTGGCACAAAAAAGGGGGAATACACGTTTCGCAATTATGCCACATCAAGGTGGAACGCTCTTCCCACAACTGTAAAGGAAAGTAAAACTATACTTACCTTCAAAACCTCTCTTAAAGAGCACTTTCGGGGGAGAGCATTGCAAAACTGGCCCCGGTAATGGTACAAATCTCAACCTGTCGTTCAATGGACAGCTTCGCCCCCCCCCCATCTATGTATATACTCGCATTTTAGACTCTGTTACTAACTGTATATCTGTAGACTTGGTATGTCTTAAATGTCCGGTTAGGATGTATTAGAACGAAATCTAAAATGAAAATTGTAAACAAGAATTGGAAATGGGGGGACCCTGATGTAAACAAGACGAAAGTCTTTCTCTGGTCTGCATCCCCTTAACAATTGTATGTTTTGAGCTGTACTGTACTGTACCCAATATACAAGCTGTTAATAAACTTTTCAATCAATCAATCAATCACTGAGATTTTTGACAAATTGTAAAGCACTTACGCATCACTGTACCCTGTATACCAAGGCGGTTATGCCATCACTTACTGTACGGAGGCTCAGTCACTGGCACTTTTTCATTTACAAAGCCATGTTGGATAAACTACCATCTTATATCTGCTCCCTGATCTCTCTGCGAATTGAAAGTACTTATTGCCTGAGATCGCATGCTGTGGTTTTATTAAATGTGCCAAGTGCTAGGACTGTCTTAGGGAAGAAAGCTTTTAGATGTGCAGCTCCACTAACATGGAACAGTCTGCAAAAAGAATGGAAAATTACCAAGCTAGTACCACTACATGTTTTTAAAGCTCGGTTGGATGCTACAAAATCAGATGCTGTTGGTACCTGTACATGTGGTTAAATATGTAAATTGTAATCCCTGTACATTTTGCTGTATGATGTCCTTTTGTTGTTCTGTTGTTTATGTTTTTATGTGTTCTTGTGGAACCTACTGCTGCAGGTCTCCCTTGAAAAAGAGATCATTGATCTCAATGGGATTTTACCTGGATAAATAAAGGTTTTGAATTGAATTGAATATACTGCAGAAAGCCTGTTAGCTGTCAGGTCTCTTCCTCATTATATCATTGATTTAAAGGACATTTGTGTTTTTGGTCAGCTGGCAGAACTTCTCTAAAACACAATGCTAACAGTGTCTTATTTTCCCTAGAACATGCATCACAGAGATTTCTTTTTAAAGGAATGTTCCATGTTCTGTCAGGCTGGAATAAACCACAATTAAAAGAAGTAATAGTAAGTAAGAGTAAGAGTAGTGAGAGGAAGTAAGAGGAAGTTGGAAAAAGGAAAAGAGGAAATCAAAGGAAAGGTGAAGCTGTTCTGCTATGAGTATATTTACAGTGAAAAAAAGAGCCTGACGTCCTTATCAGCTCGCTAAGGTCACTACAGTGGACAGCTATTCAAAAGGTGTTTTCTTGTGTATATGCATTGTTGTTTTTTGCATAGTTGCACCATCAGCCACTACATAGGACCCTATTGCATCATCCCATACACTGCCACTCAGTGCCAAGTCAGTGTAAGTGCATGATACATGTCTCTAAACCAAGATGGACGACAGAAAGCCACATGGACCAAGTCACCCATCTATATCTTGCCAATCCTTTTATGGAAAGCGTCCCCTGCAGGTATAACAATGTTGGTGACATCAAGTAACAACTAAGGAATCATATAATTAATTAATTATCAAAGTATTGATTTTATGTTTGCACAAAATCATGATTAACCACCTGTCCACTACAGTGGACGTCATGCATCACTGGCTATATTTCAACTACAATTCGTACTGGTACTGCTGCTGTTGTTCCCAGGGCCGTCCCTCCCTACAGGCAGATCATGCAGACTGTGTGGGGCCTCACCTTGTGGAGGGGGCCACACCTTGCGGAGGGGGTTCTCATCTGAGGCGCACCTATGCGCTTATGTGGCGCAATTAGGGTGGCGCGGCACGGTTTTGCCGCTGCGAGGCTCCACTAGCACTCATCAAATAACTGTGCGTGGTGCCTCAAATTGGCCCCTGGCCCTGGTTATTCTTGAAAATACTTCATCTGCAATATCTTTTTGGGCCGTAAATCAATATACTTATGTTATTATAATGTAATTTTAAGTTTGCACATCTTTATTTATATAATTTTTTCAAAATGTACATCTCTTCAGTTCAAACCCTGAACGCATAGTGTCCACCTGAGTGGACATATACAAATTTCTTTGAAAAAACTAGTTCAAATCTTGTTTTTCATGCCCCAAGAGCAATAATAACACTTGGTAAAAAAATCCTGACTGAGGTTTTCATAATTCATGCATGAAAGGGTTAACACCCAATATATCAGCTAATCTGGGATTCATTGGGTTAAGTCAATGTATCGATCATGGGTTTTAAAGACGGAAAGCAGGGAGAAACAGCTATCTGACCTTGTTTAACGGTAAGTACGCTTAGACATACGTGGATTCGGGCGATCACCTGTCGGAGATTTTTATCTGAAAGCTCATCAAAGTTGAACTCCATGGGAAGCAAAGATGTTCATTTCCTGAACATGTTTCTGACAAATATGTCCTGAAATGTGACAATTGTTATTTAATTTATGGAATTCATAACCATTTGTTTCACTGTGTTATGGGGTTGCTTCTTTATACATTTTGAAACTGCAATAGTTTTAACAATATACGTATGGGCGAAAACTGGAATTAAAAAGACATTGTGACACAGCCATCATTTTTTTCACACTTCTACGAGAAAACATAAAAGCTTTTCCAAGCAAATAATGAGACAGAGATCGAGGAATAGAAACAATTATCCATTTTAATTAAAAACATTCTATTTTGAATCAAAATATGCAACTGTGTTTCCAATGTTCCATCTTTTTACCACTTGTTTAAGTGTTGCCACGCACACACACACACACTAATGTTTATTACATGATTGCTCCGATTGTTCCGTGAAGCAGAGTGAAATAAAGCGTTTTAATCCAGCAGCAGCTCGGTAACACACCTCATGCCCCCCCCCCCCCCCCCCCCAACACACACATGTTTAATACGAGCGCCTTTTCTTTACAGCATAGTGAACTGACTTGATCCCCAAGGGAAGTGTGTTCTTGATTTGATGCACATATAACAAAAAATGGTCTGAAAAAACCGTCCCGATTGTTAAACTATATTCGTTCCTTTCTTTCTGTCCTGCCCATGTTGAGTTCTATTGAAATGCAAATGTATTTCTGTTTGTTGGATGTATAACCCTGTAGCCTCATAAACAGAGTTCTGCTGACCGGGAGCCGTTTGCTTTGCCAGAGAGCAGAACTTGAATGGATACTGAAACACCTCGGACATCATCAGTGTCGCTAAGAAAACCCTTTACGCCATCTGATAGGGTTCTCTCTCTGTTGTTGTTTGGTTTCCATAGGAACAGTTCAAAAGACTTAAAAAAGGTCAACATTTCAACGTGTAAAACCAAAAAGGAAGAGTCTTTTCTCAATTCAAGAGTCCTTTAGCTCCGGCAGACAGCCAACCTCTGCCCAAAAACAGAAGAGGAAAAACAGAAGAGATGATAAGAGAAGAGAAAATCAAAAGAGAAAAATCTGAATCAACTTTCATTCTTTGTTTCTCCCTTGTTTTATACTCCCAGCCCGTTCCAGGCGGCCATGTTGGGGCGAGTTAATTCTCTACTGGCGTGGGCTCTTGCGGCAGTTCGGCTCCTTCCTCCCCCGCTGGCCCAGAGGCCTCTGGTGTGTGTCCTGGTGTGTGTCCTGGTGTGTGTCCTGGTGTGTGTCCTGGTGTGTGTCCTGGTGTTAACAGCGGCTCGGGCTGCGGCGGCTGGCTGAGGATGACCTGCACCACGTAGTCTCTGGATATGTTGAGCTGGTCCAAGCGCAGCCTGTCCGTCAGCGGCCGGCCGGAGAAGAACCAGCGTTGGGTCGCAGCGGGAACGCCCTCCTGGTTTAGGAGACGGCGCTTCATCATGCCCACTGTGTCCGTGGAGCGGACCACCAGCCGCAGGTCGCGACCCGTGGAGAGCCGGAGCCGAAGCAGGCACTCTCCCCCTGATCCGGCCTCGCTGGCGCTGCCCGTGGAGGGGTCCGCGGCCCCGGAGTCGGGGTCCGACCCGTCAGGCTCGTCGGAGCGCTCCTCAATCATGTTGACGGGAGGAGAGAGGCAGTAGACCGGCAGCTGGTACCGGTTCCCCAGCTCATCGTAACACTCAGTCAGAGCTCCTGGAGGGAAGGAAACATGTCAACACTTAATTAAAACAATTTCAAGTTTGGTTAACAGTTTTCAGTCAGTTGTGAAAATATGTAATTCTTCAGTTTCATTGAGATTGTGGAGGGACACAAAACATTTTTCTATTCACGTGCAATCTATTTATCCCATTAAAGTAAACCATACGTTAGAAAAAAGGTAAAACATTGCCAGGTTACTTTATGATTTAACCTGCTACAGTTTTTACCAAATCTAAATGCAGTTTTTTTTATGGAATGTGATATTGTAGGATTAATATGTGCACTACTACTAGAAAGTACAAACCTTTATCTGCAGCGTACTGTAAACTGCATACACATTTAAACAAACCTGTGTGCATGCAGGTATATTTAGTACACTGGGTGAATAATTGACCACTAAAATCTGAGCATTACAGGTGAACCATCAACTTTCCCCTTAACCTTTCACTTTAAAATGAACTGGATAAGTCATGCTTGATAAATAGTTGGCATTTATGTTGTATTTAAATTACTGTGTTCCTGTGTTGACCAAGCCAAAACCTGACCTCTATTCACATTTCACTCAGGAATAGGAAATGGAGAAATGAAAGTAAGTCTCAACAGAACACAAAGACGTGTATGGAGTGAAAGCGGGAGAAAAGGGAATGTCATGAGTCTGTTGCCCTTAAAACTAATGATGTCACTGTTGACTGTGATTCAGACACAGAGTTGGTGGAGAGAGGGGGAAATAAGATGTAGTGAAGCGGTCATAATATTCCACAGAAACAAAGAACAATGATATTCGCAGGGGGGACCCCAAAGGTCCTCAAGGGGATTTTTAAACAGGTCCCCCCAAACAAGGGCTTGATGTCAACTATTTCATTCCTGAAAAGTCCTTCTATTGTGGTAATAAGCCTTTTGTTTTTGAACTGTTGAAGTTCAAGTGAGGGTCTTTTATCTAAATTAATGTTTGTCGCATCCAAGAGTTTGCCAAATAAGTCACACAATGCTGATAAAGACTTTCGTTGCAAGGGATGTGGCATTATTCCTGAGTTATAGTGACTTCGCACACCAGCACACAAACGCCTCCAGGTAAGATCGCTGCCCCCCCCCCCAATTGGGCTCTCTCTTTAAGTCTCCCAGGGCAATTATTTTTCCTAAATACTGATTTTCAGTTTTTTATCCGGAGCATACACTCGAAAAACTTTCTTGGACCTTTCTCAGAACATTTTGCCACAGCTTCTACCAAACTCTGAGCTTTTACTGTAATACACAGTTATGAGTGAAATAAAAAAAACACCCTGGTCTTTTCTCGTAATGGCTTTTAAAAAGGTGATCTACCTTGGAGCCAAAACTAATTAAAGACCAGGGTAAAAAACTGTCCCCTCAAAAGCAATAAGTGATTTCAAAAGTCATTTTGTAAACGTTTTAAAAAGGTCAGTGGACTACTCATGTTGTTTTATGACATGTGTTGAGGTACAGGCGACTAGAGCAAATTTGTTTTGTGGTAAGTGAGACTGAGATGAGTCCTCAGCCCACAGGATGTTGCTCTCTGGTCTCTAGATGACGAATGCTGTGGTAAAGGTGAGGACATTAAGCCAATGTTAGGCCTCAGGACAGTCTCACCAAAGTGGATGTGAGAGCGAGAAATTGAGGCTTCATTTTGATTGTTTGTAGAAATTAAACGGTACTAATGTGGATAACAAGTGGGCTATTATTGTCACAGCACTCACCAAAAACCACTTGGCGTGAAAATGAATATAGAAGTTATATCAACACCAAAACAACATCCGTCTTCTCTTAGCGTGAGCAAAACATATGTTGGCAAACTCTTTTAACAAATGGGAACAAATCATTTGCAAATGTGACAATTAGTAAGCATGTTTTGAATCTCTCCGCTTCTGGCACTTACATAACTGAAATACCAGGAACCAGATTCACCAGACCAGTTTGATGACAATGTTTTAAGGTCTAGTTGAAATCATCACCCATCTTTTTTGTAGTCTGAAATGATGTAAATAAATGTGTGCAAGTACTTTAAATCCCTTCCTGTAACAATGACAAATGAGCAAAGACAGCCAGATATGGGGAAGCTATCTTAGCCATTAGCCAAAGTCACAGAAGCTAATCTAAATGTAATGGTACACATGTGTTACGGTTGCTGTTTGTCTGCTCATTAACCTGCCTGTGAGTGTTTTCAGCTGTGTGTGATTATGTAAATGAGCTGTGTGGTTGCCCCAACGTCATTGGCTGTCATCTCCTGGTACACTTCCGAGGACACTGATTGGAGCACGCCGGACCCAACGTTCTCCAATCCCGGTGCAAGCCCAGCGCACACCTGCTGGAGAGGACTACAAAGCCTGGGAACTATCACCACTCTGGAGGCTCTGCTGCGATCAGACGCCTCATACCTTTTGCTCTTGCGTCATGGACACTACAGACTGTGTTTGGTGCAACATATGTGTTTAGTGACGAGTGTCAATATATGTGTTCCGTGTCCAGTGTGGATATATGTGTTTAGCTAGTGTGCTTAGTTTTCCCTCCTTCAGCTGTGTTTTCTTACAGCTTCCTTTATTTAGTTGTACCACTTTTAAAGTGAGGTTTTGTTTAGTTCTTATTTAGTGTGAGTGTTATTTCTTTGTATGTACACAGACTCCTTTTTAAGAGTCCTCCCTTTGTTTGGTTATTTGTCAACCTGTGCCCTTTTGGCCCTTTTGTTTGTTCAGGCTGCACGCCTGCCATTTTGTTTACCGCTGCCATTATGAATAAATCACTTATAATTATACAAATACCAATCTGGTTGTGTTTCTTTCCTTTAGTTCCCCTAGCCTAATAGGGAGCGTAACAACATGGGTCACTGACTTTCTTTAAATATGTTGCTATGTCTGTATACCTCACTTGCTTTTTCCCCTGGTGGCTCCACTTAAGTCCTTCTGACTTCTGCAGCAGGAAGCTAATGGTTTCCAGGTGCTGCTAATGCCTTCAGTTGTGAGATTTCATTAAACATTGAGTTTAGATTGAATAAACCTCCCAAGAGAGGGGTTAAAGCCGTGCACCTAATTTAAGAGATTTCATCATTTGATAAAAGCTGGAAAACATTTGTAAACATAAAAAGTATGTGTTGCTGATGTGCTGCATTGCATAACCCCAAGAAGCTGTACTGGCTATGGCTCAAACAGAGGACATTTCAAATGTGCATTGGTGAACATGATATATATATTTTTTTGCAGGTTGGATGGACGCTGACATGTTTACAAACTAATGCAAATGATTCCCATTGTTATGCTTCACAGAGTCACTTTGGAGCACCGCAGATCAAGTTGGTCTCCAATCCAATTATATGCACTGAAAAACGAGCCCATCAGCCAATACATTTCCGTACTGTAATGGAGCTTTTTATTTTTTTTAAATGTAAGCTTTTAGAAGTGGTGGATCATTGACTGCTTCTAAAAAGCTGATATTTAACCAAATAGTCCTACAGTGAAACAGCATGTTCCCCATTCTAGCAGCTTTATTCACAAGGTGGCAATGTCAGATGATCAGCTCACCACTTCGGCCCAGACTACTGCAAACTATTGGCTAGATTGCATATGCCATGTCAGTTGACTGCCAAGAAATTTCTTTTTGGTGATACCCTGTTTTTTTCCTGTTGCGCCATCATCAAGTCAAAAATATGATTTGTCCAAGACTTTGTTTTGTCCAAAGGTATTCCCATCCGCCTCAGTTGTATTTTGTGTTAAATTCTGATTAGCAAACATTAGCATGCTAACATGGGAAACATTACACCAGCTTAGCATCAATGTTAGCCATTGCATTGTGAGAATGTTAGCCTACTGAGGGCACTACGTCCATATCTTAATCCGTCTATGTTTTTTGTGCAAAGCACTGTGAACTGTGCTTACATACCTAATTGGAACTGGAATGACAAAAGCATAAAAAGACATACACTTGCTGGTATGCTATTTGTACGGAGTTCTGGAGAAGTGAAGTGGTGACATCAGGCCTGGGGAATCCACAGCTGCAGCCCAGCGGGATCTGATCCGACCCGTCCAAACTACTAAAGGCAATGGAGCAGGACAATACATGCCTATGTTTACATTCACAAAAAGCCTGTTGTCACTGATATACACCCAAATCATGTTCAGGTAGAGCTGACCTTGAGAGTTATGGCGCATTTCCACTGCAGCGGGTAGCCCCGTTTAAGCGTCCTTAACCGTCCTCAAGCGGCCAGGCCAGTTTTTGGTGGCCTTTCCATATGGCCTAGCACCGGCTAGCGGGTACTTTTTCCCTCTTTTTCCGGCCCCATAAAATCGTGGTTCTATCAGGCCAGGCCAGGGCTGAACTAGTGACGTCAACACTCTCGACTGCTGATTGGTCAGAGAGAATCGTCACAAAATCGCGCGTGAGATCATCCCTAGCGTCGTATATATATCTAGAAGCAAGCTTGCAGCATTTTTATAAACAGCATTTTGTAAACGGAGGAGCTACAAAAATGGCAACGTCGAAGAAAAGCACACCGTGGTCGACCGAGGAGGTGACGACGTTCCTACATCTCATTGGGGATGATAAAATCCAGCGGGAGCTCGACGGAACAACGCGAAATGTGAAAGTGTTCAAAAGATGTCTCTGCAGTCTGCACAGATGTCCGAACGCGGATTGTCGAGGACTTTCCTGCAGTGTAGGGAAAAACTCAAAAAGATGAAGAGTGAATATTGCCAAGTAAAGGACAACAATAACACGAGTGGTGCGGGTAGGAAACAATGGAAGTGGTTCGACTTGTTGGACCAGATTTACGGCCATAGACCGGCCAACGTTGGGAGGGAGGGAGACCTGGACTCTGCAACGGCTTTACTGGAGTCCCTGCAAGGTACGCTCACTTCTAACAAATAAGTCTATTTTAATCCTTACATTAATGTTCGACAACCCATGCTTTTATGGAGCCCCGAATCAATTATCAGTCTTAGCTAGTAAGCAGCTAGTACAGTTGTGTGTGACATCCTATCATATATTTATATTCATTATCAACAGGCTGGACATAATGTAATTCACTTTCACAATCATTGTGAACTTTCTTTAGTTCACCTTACTGTTGTTCTCTTTATATATGTTATTCTTATATCCTTGTGTGACCTGTACCTGTCCAGTGTTTTTTCCTTATTGCTAATTATTATCTTATTGTCGCCCAGGCAAGAGGAAACGAGGAGGAGAGGATCGGGCCCAGCAGAAACGGCACCATGAACAGCACATGGCCCAGCAGAAACGGCACCATGAACAGCACATGGCCCAGCAGGAACGGCACCATGAACAGCACATGGCCCAGCAGAAACGGCACCATGAACAGCACATGGCCCAGCAGGAACGGCACCATGAACAGCACATGGCCCAGCAGAAACGGCACTTGGACTGGGCCAAAGCGTCTGCTGAGCGGAGATGGGAGTTGGATGCGGCCTTGAGAAGGGAGGAGGCCGCTCAAGCAGAGACCTTCAACCTAGCCTTCCTGCGCACTCTTGGCGAGGTGCTAGGGGGACTGGGCAGCCGACGTGGCCTGTCTCCTCAGTGATACTTCAAATAACCTTAATAGTTATTGTACATATTATATATTTTTTCTCTAGTTAATTTTTAAATGCAACATTTGTACTTTCTTGTTTATTTATTTTCTTTAAAATGTGCATTTTATATTTATTTTTACAATGCCATGTATATTTATGCTGGCTGCAATACAATTTTACATTTTTTATTTGTATTGTTTAATGGCATGCCTTTTGATACAATTTTTTAATTTATTTTTTATACTGCCATCAATAAAGTACTTATTTGACTTATCTTATCTCTTGTTGATAATGAATTGCACCCAACAGAAAAAAATCAGATTCACATAATCTTGATTTAGAGAAGATATAAACATACATGAATTTATAAAGCAATAACAAACACCATCAGTTAGGAAAAAGCCCATAAGATAAGTTAGTTTTAAGAGATTTAAAGCAAGAAATTGAGTTTGCTAGCTTGAGGTCCTCCTCTAAAACATTATTACATGTTTATTTTGTAATAGTATTAAGAATACATGATAAATACATAATACATGTAGTAGAAATTGCTCAATTGTAATACCCTCGTTCTACTAGACTCAAACAACACATTCCTTATATATTTCAAAGACGAGAGAACAAAAGAAGAAACCTATAACCCATTCAAGCAAGCTTTTAACATGTCTAGAAGAAAGATTGAGGTTATATTTTATTTTATGTTGTGGATACTTTAGCCTCCATCCATGTTTACAATTGTCCACACTATTTTACACTTGCATTTATGAATATAGTTTTGCTGTGTTTTACACTTTAGTATTTATGTTTATAGTTAGCTTTGATATTCGCTTAATTGATTAGAAAGATTTTCTTTTCATGATCTGATATTTCCTCAAATGTTCTTATTATGGGGCAGTACTTACTGGTGCTTGAAATTCAAATATTTACTAAATATTCAATTCAGATAACAACATTTGTTTAAAACATTTGACAAACACATGTATATGAAAAAAAAAAGATGTATTTATGTTCAATACAATGAATACAATACAATGCATATTTAGGTATTCAGGTCGCGCATCAAACCCTCTCTGATGTCAGTGCCCTCCTCCTCTGCACCTTGAGCCACTGCTACCCCAGGCTCTGCTGCTGCTGCTGGTGCATTCCACCCATCATCATAGTCCTCTCCATGACTCTCGCAGAGGTTATGCAGAGCACAGCATGTTAACAAGCCACACACCAAGAAACAAGTAAACGATCGCTTCCACATCCTCCATTGTTGTGTGTGTTTTGTGAGTTGTGTTGCATTGAAGATGACGCCACTGCAGTTTTACCCAGCGTCGCTCCGCCCAAAAAGCCCGCCAAAAAGCCGATCGCCCCGCCTACACTGCGTTGCTACCCCAGGTCCTAAACTGTAATGGAAATGCGCCACGGCCTCGGACGGCCGGCGAGGCAGCCCGAGGCCTGAGCGAGGACGCTTAGGGACGCTTAAACGGGGCTACCCCGCTGCAGTGGAAATGCGCCATTAATGTCCCTGTTGACGTACTGGGTTGGGCACAACAGAGTGAAATATCACAATGGACAATAATGATCATTGTTTAGTGGGTTCAGATCCTTTTATGGGATATGTATAGTCTAGATGTTTTTATACTGTGCTCTCTGCCTCCTCTATCCTCGGGACATAAACAGGACATTTATGCACAATCCAGTGAGATTAGGCCTACCATCATTTTTTACTTTGAACTCCAATACACAATTCTGATGCAGTATTGCAAAGGATCAAATGCATGAGTTCAATACCCAGGTATGTGTATGAATTAAAACAAGATTAGATGATGAGCAGTTAGGCAATTCATTTGGCAGCCCTGCCACCAGTGTAAAGGCAATATGACGGTGAAAGGAATTAGGAATCAAAAGAATGACGCACATCCACAAATAGAAAGCCTGTTCAAGCAGATGATAATTTATGTGTGAAGATGCTGGGTTTTCTGAATCGGAGCCAATTATATTGATTTGTTCCATCTGAATGGTCTCCAGTACGTTTATCAAAGTTGCATTCCCTTTATTGGCATCTGAGTGAATGTACTTGAGTCCTTTCAAAAGACCAAGTGTACGCCCCCTTAAATGTATTATTTATTGATTCCTAATGCAGTATATAACTCCTAATAGTCTAAACTCTACAATGTGGTCATTGAGATACACTTAAGAGTCTCAGCATCAGCATACTGTAAATGACTGGAGTTGCTTGGAATACGGTCCACATTCATTAAACACTCACTTACTGTGCACAGACGCCACCAGCCCAAACAGACTTACTTCCTGTTTATGAAACTTCAACACCAGACTTGAAACTACAGGGGATGTATACAATACTTCCTGAGGAAGCTGTCTTACATATTTCTTCTCAAATATTTTGTTGTAACCTATAAATATATTTAAAAAGAGCTGATATTTACTGGGCCCCCCCATTGGTAAAGGAAGCTGTCTGGTGGCAGAAATGTGTGTCTGACTGACAGAGCCATTTCACAATCTTTGCTTTGCTCTTTTAAAAAGGCCCATAGAGGCATTGCCCTCATTACTTTATATGTTCACTTACTTGCTGCTTCTTATTTCTGTTCCATGGATGGGTACTTATTAGGTTTTCTTCATAAACATGTTCAATCTCTCTATTTAATGTGTTACTTTTGTCTGGAGTGTCCATTTGCTGAAACATTGTAAATGTACCCTGCTGTGGGACGAATAAAGGACTTCTGATTCTGATTAACTTGAGATACACATAAAAACTACAAGATCTGCAGCTTTCAGTTAAGACTTGTGAAACTCTTACAGCCGAGTTTGAGTCTCTCTAGGCAATTTGGGAAAAGGGACCCACAGCGGTATTTGAAAGAGAGTACAACAAAATGAGCTATTTAATACGTTTTCCTCTTATGTCATACCAACTTATCTGTATTTGAAAAACTGTCCAAATGACTATATTTTCTATGGCATACTAAAACTTTAAAATGTCAATAACGGTCTATAATATATCCCTTTTTGTTCTGTATTGTGTCTGTACTATACCGTGTAATTTATACCTGATCGACAGCACTATAGATCAGGTATAAATGAGACGACATTCATTTTTTTGTAATGTTTATACTGCCTTATACGGATCACAGTGTCAGATGTATATATTTATACTTGATATCACTCTGCACTTTACTACTTCTTTTACACTTCTCGTTAGATACTAACTGCATTTTTTGTTGTCTTAGTACTTGCACTCAATCACAATTAAGTCTAATCTAATCTTATTTGCTACATCCTTCACAGTGGCAATGTGCCTTACCGTGAGGCAGTGTGATGCTGGCCCCGTCGAGGATGGCCTGAGCCAGCAGGTGGTCGCTGCTTTCAAAGGCGCTGGCCGCGGCCCGCAGAGCATCCCAGATCTCTTTCCGGCCCTCGAATGCTGGCGCCGTATCCCAGAACTCATCTCTCTTGCTACGCAGCTGGCCTTCAGTCATCGGGTAGTCACTTTTCCATTTAGGCCGCTCTCTCTTCAGGGGCTGGTTACGCCCCAGAGCCACTGGGAGGGAGAGGAAAGCAGAGATGGAGAGAAAAGAAAGATAGGAGGGTGGAGGGAAGATGGAGGAGAAGAACCAGAGGGGAAAGATAGAAACATGGAGTATGAGTGTGAGGTCAATCAAACGGATGTGAGGAAAGAAATAACATGGGGATTGGTAGAGGAGACGGAAGGGTGGAGAAGTAGAAGAAGAAGGGATAACGAGGACAAAATAAGTAAAACAGAAACAAATGGGGATGTAGGGAAGAGAAAATGTAAGATAGAGAGAGGTGGAAGGATGAAAATGAGAAGTTAGAATAATGAATAAAAGAAAAAGAGGGAAGAAGAAGAGTTAGGATTTATTTGAAACAAAGCATCAGTCAGATAAGATTTCTCTTGTTAGGTGACAGATTAACCATGAGCTAGCATGTACATGGAGCTCACACAGTCTAAGCAGAACTGAAGCAAGACGTGTTGTGTTACTCAACCCAGATACAAGGTTAGGGTTATAGCATCTAACAGCGCTCCATCTGCAGCAGAATAGCTGATGAATAACACCATCTGGATCAACACCTAAGGGGACGACAGGTAAAGGACGGTGTGTACGTGTGTGTGTGTGTACGTGCAACACGGAGACATGAGAGAGGAGAGAATGACGGATCAAGGTGTTTAGTTACACCTGCTGCTGGTACACATGTACTCTGATGATCACATGGCACAGTCTGACAGCAACAACAACCTTCAACTGACTGTTTATAGTAAATAAGAGCTCTGACTGACTGACTGTTTACGCTGACTTTCTTTCCTATTTGGTTGTGTATATTTTCATAGTTAACCGTTATAAAACATTTGTTTTCATTACCAGAAGGGACAGAGGGCAAATGAAGTTAAAACTTCAGGTGTGCTTGTTGGAAACATTGCAGCAGTAAACTCAAACCAATACCAATACATTTAATGATGATTTTTTTTCTTGCTATTGTTTTCTTGATACATTTTTTACATATCCATCATCATTTCTCAAGGTCCAAGGTGATATCTGCAATTTTTGCATAAGAAAATGACTTCAATATTTATTTTAATTATTCTAATTGAATAGTTAATCTCACAGCTCTCATGAACCACACATGTGGTTTTGTATAAATAAGCAGCGGCTCATACTAGCTAAACAGAATATGTACATTAAACATGTTCTGCAGGCAGTTTATTAACAGTAATCTGCAAAAACATATCTTCCTTTATTTATGAATATGTATGTGTTATCACCAACTTGACTGCTTTTTCATAGGCCTACAACCTGCATTAGCCTACTTTCCAGCTCAAAATATACTAATTTACTTATAAATGCTAGCCCACTTGCCTGTCTTTCAGGAATTCTCAGAAATCCTAAGGGCTGTATGTGGGCCAGTATGTGTGAAAGTACATGTGAACCAAACAACCTTAGTTATGAGACCTGCTTCGGTGAAAACAGATACATGTGCATGTGTTGTGGGCTTATTGCATTGTTTCTGTCCTCATCAAGGAAAGGTGTCAAGTAACAGCTGCTTGTCTGCATGTGTTTACTTTTAACACTGCATAGCTTCTTGTTACTACACACACACTCCATCACAGATAAAGGGATCTCTGAAACCTGTTTATGTGACATCTAGACTTCAAGGAAGACAGGGAACAAATTGTCAAAACGGATGTAGAGCCACAGAGGAAGACATTAATGCCCCGGCCACACGAGGACGAAAACGGCCGTTTGCGTTACTGTTTAGTGTCATATAGACCATTCGGCCATACGAGGACGACCGAATACGGCACTAAACGACTGAGGAAACGATAACGGGTCCCAAGGTGGATAGAACGGCATACGCAACGCTCTGGGGGGTCAAACGGCTCCGTGTGTGCGCCCTATACGAACATTTTCTGATAGTGATTGCGCAATAGCAATAGCCCCGCCTCTCCCCACCTCTTCTGCTCACCTCCGCTTACCCCGCGCCATTGCTGATGTGTTTCGCCACCAACAACAACAACAACAACAACAATGGCGGATCGCAGAGTTGCTATCGTGCTCCGGACGCTACTGACCATGCTACAGTTCTTTGTGCAACATCTACAGCAGACTTACACATCCGGGGGGATCTTACTCGCTGCTTTTGTGGATATGTACTGCAGCTTCAGCGATCATTTTCTGATAATGATTGCGCAATAGCCCCGCCTCTCCCCACCTCTGCTGCTCACCCCCGCGTCAAAGTAAACTGCACACTGAATTCAGATTATTTATCTTTCTCTCGATATGGACATAAACGCGAGAGAAGTCTAATCTGACAGGACGGAGACACCTCTCAAACTACCTAAACTAGTTATAAATATGTTTATTTTTACTGTCGGCCGGGTCACTCATTACTGGATCAGCTGCTGCATGAGACAGACACTGACGCTGTCCAAAGAGAGGGTGGAAAAAGAGAGGCTCCGTGTATTTTTATTATTATATTATATAGAGTCGTTATTCATTTGTTTTAAAGCTCAATAAATAACAAAGAAGACCTTTGACCGGCACTTTTATAATTTTGTCGGAAGGTTTAAACTTTAATACACGTTGACTGGCGAAAAACTCTGCCCGGTTCCCTCGGCCCCCACCGCGGAGAATAAACAGAAGGGCAACCATGACAACCATGCTACTTCGCTGCTTTTGTGGAGGAAGTTACAGCGCCACGTACAGGCTCCTGCATATGTACTGCAGCTTCTCCAGTGGTTGGAGCTAAACGGAGCGGTCTCGTGTGGGCAGACACTATCCGGATAACTATTGCGTGTGGACGGAAGCTTGTTTGCGATTGCGTTTGCGTTAATCCTATGCGTTTAGCCGTTTTCGTCCTTGTGTGGCCGGGGTCTAAGGAAACCATGCTATATCTCAGCATCACTAAAGTGCTCAGTCCCCACCCCAGCTCCGTCTCCCAATGTGTGATTAAAATAACTTGCTGTTCAGAAGTGAAACCCCTTTTCAGATCAGACAATCAGGAAACCACAGTAAAAAGCTCAAAACATACAATTGTTAAGGGGATGCAGACCAGAGAAAGACTTTCGTCTTGTTTACATCAGGGTCCCCCATTTCCAATTCATCATGTCATTTAAGACATATAAGACATATTTGACATACAGATGGCTTATTTACAATTTACATACAGGTGGTTTTTTTACATACAGATTGCTTATTTACAATTTTCATTTTAGATTTCGTTCTAATACATCCTAACCGGACATTTAAGACATACCAAGTCTACAGATATACAGTTAGTAACAGAGTCTAAAATGCGAGTATATACATAGATGGGGGGGAGCTGTCCATTGAACGACAGGTTGAGATTTGTACCATTACCGGGGCCAGTTTTGCAATGCTCTCCCCCGAAAGTGCTCTTTAAGAGAGGTTTTGAAGGTAAGTATAGTTTTACTTTCCTTTACAGTTGTGGGAAGAGCGTTCCACCTTGATGTGGCATAATTGCGAAACGTGTATTCCCCCTTTTTTGTGCCAAATCTGGGTTTCACGTGATTTGTGGAGCTCCCTCTGGTGTTATGATCATGGTATTCCTTGACCTTTGGGAAGAATTTTGACATGTACATGGGTACCATAGAGGTGTAGTGGATCTTGTAGACCAGTCCCATTGCAAGTAGCTGTACTCTGTCGTCTACTCTAAGCCATCCTAGGTTGTCAAAGTGGGCAGAGGTGAGGTGGGTTCTAGATGAAAGGTCAAGCAGTAGTCTGACCAGTTTATTTTGCGATGTTTGAAGTTTTATTTTTAGCGCCTTGGAGGTGCTATGGTACCATGACGTGCAAGCATAGTCATAGTACCCTTGAATGAGTGCTCCTGCCAGAGTTTTCAGGGTGTTTTTGTTTACCAGAGAGGAGATCCGGTATAGGAATCTAGTTCTTTGATTGACTTTTTTTATTACATTGGATGCCATTTTGTCACAGGAGAGGTTTGCCTCAAGAATAGATCCTAGGTATGTAATTTCCTTCTTACTTGGGACAATAATGTCGCCCACTGCAACTGAGAAGTCGTCGGATTTGCTGAGATTATGTTTCGAACCGAAGAGAATGGACTCTGTTTTACCCAGGTGTAATGATAATTTATTATCGGCGAGCCAGGTGCAGATTCTGCCGAGCTCGGAGCTGAGGGTTTTTTCAACCTGCAACCTGTTCCTGTCAGAGACCAGCAGGGCTGAGTCGTCCACGAACAGGAACAAGTTGCAGTCACATGCTGATGACATGTCATTTACATAAATTAGCAACTGTAACGGACCTAATATGCTTCCTTGTGGAACACCACAGCTCACTGGGAGGGGGGGGACAGAGTACCGTTTACCGCCACCATCTGTTCTCTCCCCTCCAGGTAGGATTGCATCCAGCTCACCGATAGTTTATCAAAACCAATTGCTTTTAGCTTGTCAATCAGAATGGGGTGATTGACAGTGTCGAAAGCCTTTTGTAGGTCCAGCATCACCATGCCGCAGTACTTGCCCTCGTCCACCTCTTGTTTGATGTGGTCGCTCAAATAAAGAAGGCATGTGTCAGTGGAGTGGGATGTTCTAAAGCCAGATTGAAATTCATAGATTAGTTTATTTTCCGCGAGGTACTTTTCGACCTGTTCATATACAATTTTTTCCATGACTTTCGAGATGGAGGTAAGTATAGAAACAGGGCGGTAGTTGCCTGGGTCCAATTTGCTGCCCTTTTTGTGCAGGGGGGTTACTCTTGCAATTTTGAAGTCTTTGGGTACTTTTCCCTGTTTTATGGAGAGGTTAATTATGTGATCTGACTGGTGAGATGGCAGTTGCTGTGTCTCTGAGGAATTTGGAGGGGATATTGTCGTGGCCAGTGGCCTTGTTAGGTTGGAGGGCGCTCAGTTTAATGAGTACCTCTACTGTTGTTACCCTTGCTAGACTGAAATCATCTTTGCGTACCCCTAGGTTTTTGTAGTAGGTCATGATGTGATCTACTCCAAAAAGCCCTGAGTGGGAGGGTAATTTATTTACAAGAGTTGTGGCTATGTTTGTGAAAAAAATGTTCAAGTACTTGGCCACATCCAGTTTGTCTGTGATGAGCCTGTTAACTGTCTTTATGTTTAAGTTAGAAAATCTCGTTTTGAGTTTTTTACTGCAGCCAAGCTGGTTATTGAGTAATTTCCAAAGTTCACGGGGTTTATTTTTGATGTTCAGATTCTAAAAATCTCAAAGCATCTTTCTTTCCTCCATGTATCCATCAGTGTCTCCTATTTACATGTACACACTATTAAACACTATGCTGGTTTTTGCACCACGGTACATCCTCCATATGTAATGCACCTTTTCATGGTTTTAACCCAAGTTGTAGTTTAACCAGTAGTAAAAATAGTGGACCCTAAACATATATTTGTAGATGGGGTAAATCATGCCCCATTACCTTAGGTATTGCACACAAAAAATAGGCCTAAAATGAAGCTTATTCGTTGCAGTATTTTATAGTTTGATATTACTGTTCTGCTCCCAGTGGATGGACAGCATGGTGCTTGTAGCTCTTGGGCCTTGTTCAAATAACCGCAGATATATAACACACTTCCTTTATCATAAAGCTGAAGCACCCTTTAAGTGTTGACACCTCCTCCTCTTTTCTCCCCAACACTTCCCAGCAGTAAACAAGAACCAACACCAGAACAAAACAGTAATTGAAAAGCAAAAGCCTAACATTGGTCGATTTGGTGGAGCATGCTTTAGGATAACAGTCAGGACATAATTTAAATCAGACTGCATCACTGCATGCCAGAGCCATCTGTGACCCATATTTGTTATGCAGAAAAAGCTAGCAAGCTAACTGGGCTACATTTTAGCCGAGTAGCTCAGTCAAAAAACCAAAGAACAAAGGGAGGCAGCGTCGCACAGTACATTATCCCCCAGTTTATAAAGTAGCGACGAGGCGTCATTTCTCGCTTCAAGGCCCCGCTGTTTGGAGCGAGATACCCGGGAGGGCTGGGCTGCCATGTCTGTCTCCGGCTGTCTGGCTCGGGTATAAAGGAAAACTCCAGCACAGGACAACATGCAAAAACCCTGCAGGACCCCCTCTAAAAAACGTGTTTGTACTAAATGACGCGCAGTACGTTACCTCCAGTGCCGTCCGAGTTCTCGTTTAAGCTGCCCGAGGAGTCGTGGTGGCTCCCGACACAGCCACCCATGGATGTTTCGGCAGAGCAGCCCGGGCTAGGTAGCTCTCCCCCCGGCCCACAGCTAGAGCTACATCTACCAGCCCCCCTTTCTCTCCTCTCTTCCCCCTCCCCTTTACTTCTCTCCTTTCGTCTCTCCACGTTACCTCCTTCCCTCCTTCTTTCCCTTCTTCCTCTCAGCACTGGCGGTGCGAAGCAGGCATCCTCTTCATCTTCCTCATCTTCCTCTGCGGGGAGAAGAAAGAGAGACACATCGTTACAAGGTGACCGAGGGAGAGGGGGAGAAAGGGGGAAGAGAGAACAAAGGGGAAGTGCACTGTAAAAAGAAGAAGATGCCGTCTCCTCTGGGGCAGCACATGTTAACTTAAGACATCAGAATATGTTGATGATAATGTGTTTTGACACCCCTGTTAGATTTTGTGTTCAGGGAAGATGTTTGCTGTCCTGAAGAGTCAAGTAATGATATCCTTATAATCGTGAATGTCAAGGAAGCCCCCTGCAAATGTAAAGCAATAGGTCATGCATTTTATTCTATTCTACTGTCTGTACTCTACTCTATTCAATTATATTCTCTTCTACTCTATTCTACTTTACTCTATTCTGTTCTACTTTACTCTATTATGTTCTACTCTAGTATTATCTATTCCACTCTTTTCTATTCCATTACACTATTCTGTTATGTTCTATTATGCTATACTCTGCACTATTCTGTACTCTATTCTGCTCTATTAAACTCTACTCTATTATATCATATTATATTGCTGGGAATGAATGTAGAATCTGCATGGGTTAGATTCAGCAGTAGTTTGGGGGTTTTACGACAAACTACTGAAATACTGGTGAGTTGGAAGGTGGAGAGAATTAAGGAGGCATGGGCCTCAGAAGAGGAGGAGAGGGTGGCACACACACGTTTGTTCCATAGGTACATCACATTTCACTACACACAGTGAAATAGTGGTATATATTTTCTAAAGCATATTTTAGTGGTTGGACTTGATATTTGTTTTGCAGGGATGAATGTGATTTTACATTGTGGAATGACAGTTATTTATGGCACTTACTCATTGCTTCATAGTCGGATCACATTTCACCACACACTACAATTGTATTATTGTTCTTTTCTATTCCCTCAAGCATGATAGGGTTTCATTGGATAAACAGATTTTGAGAAGCAGACGGTAATTCAGTTATTATCTGTCTATCTTGCACAAAGAGGTTTTTTTCATACATGCAGTTTTGAGGTGTTGACACACACATGTGTAGCATAGGTTGATCAACTCCACAACTCCAGTCTCTTACTTTAATTCTGTTTTACATTTTCATTGCACTGTAATCCTCTCCTCTCTCTCTGTCAGAGCAGTTCTGTGTACTCTATTTCTGCATCCAAGTGCTGCAATGTTACACCATGGACACACTGGTCACTATCTTTAGGACCGTCCCAAAGAGACTTGAGTGTAATTTGAAACACTGGCACGGACACATACACATTCACACACACGGTCACTCGTGTGTTCATGTACACACACACACACACACACACACACACAATAGCAACGGGATAGCGAGGGTAATTTTACCACTAAGCTGTCTGGAATTACAATTATTTCCCATTGCTTGGAGCTTCAAGCAGAAATGTGTGAAGCAGAAAGCTTACTTGGAAACCCTTTCCTGATTGTCTTCATGGCGTAATATGATGTAACTAGTTACTCAGAATACATTTGACATGTGGCTGCGTATTCTGTGATCAAGGTCACAGCAGGAGATTCAGCACAATCTTTTGTATCTTCTTCACACCTCCTGTTCATGACGCAATTGATTGAACATCGCCTGTTTTACTGCTGTATGACACCTGAGGGAAGTGATTTTAATTGTCAATGTTGCTCTTTTGGAGACCAAGGAGTGAGTTTAAATATAGATTACTGAGATTACTGAGTGTATTAAACCCACGTTGTTTTGAACATTTCCTAAAAAGGTTACAAGGAAACTCTAAACTCGTTAAAACATGGTTCCAATTAAAGTCCCACTCTGAGGCCTTGCTGTCTTTTCACTGTTGCATTGTTAAAAGCCACCGTAAGCTGTGAAATAGCACCCACACTGTTCAAGGCAAGAATAGGCTGTTGACTAAACAGACATGCTAAGTGTGAAGTTCATTTTAAAAGAGATTTACAGTGACCTCTAGTGATACGCTGCATACAATGTCCTGTATGGCTGGGCTAGGAAAATACATTTAATTTTTAAAATACAGTATAAACATTTTTTCCAAATTAGAATTACAGACAAGTTGAAAACAATTATATCTGTTTGTGTGCATACAGCCTGCTATAGTTATGATAAGGCACGAGTAAAAGGGCCGTCATTGCTGATTGCATGGATTTCTTCAGATAATTTTGAAACGTATAAAAGAGAATATTAACAATTTGTTAAGTCATATATTAATTACAAATATGTTTGCGTGATGCAACTCCTACTTTTAAAGTGTGATGAGTTGATTCTTCTGCTTGTACATGGATCTGTCAACAGATGGAGCCAGAGAGTCTGAACTGCAGACGTAGGTACCAAAATACTGTTTGTCTGCATGCGTGTGTTTGTTCGTTTGTGTGAGGGTGTGAATGTGTGTGTGTGTGTGTGTGTGGTGTGTGTGTGTGTGTGTGTGTGTGTGTGTGTGTGTGTGTGTGTGTGTGTGTGTGTGTGTGTGTGTGTGTGTGTGTGTGTGTGTGTGCATGCACGTTTCGGAGAAAGACAGAGGCTTAAAAGGCAGGAACGTCCATGTTGTAAAGACTCTGTGTAATTAAATACACTCGATGGTTTTCAACATAAGTTCTTTCATTCTTTTTTTGCTCTTTCTTGAAAGTGAATAAAACACATTGCACATGTCATAGAGCCGCAGTAAGTAGACGGGCATCATGTCAGATATCCTCCATCTTTGCTGTAATATTTCTGTTGGATTTTGGTGCCTCCACTGAGCAAATAAACGCCAGCAACCAAATGAATATGATGCATGTGATGAACAGCACTATCTGCTGGCTCTGTCTGTCTGCTCTTCAGGCTTCAGGCAAACAATTCCTCACAAGGCTTCCTTTTTTAGGTTGAAGAAACATGACTTTTTTGGATACCGACCAGAAGTCTTTGCTTTTCACAGACTCTTGAAGATAACTCGTCTTTATCGCACATCTCTCTTTGTTGTTTCTTTCACTATCTCGACCCTTTCTTCTCTTATCTTCATTAGCAAGCTCCCCTCCTCCTTCATCTAAAGCCAACAGAACAGCTGACACACAGGTTAATAGGCTTGTCATTGATTTATTCTCAACAGCCCAGCTTGTGTGCTGCCCAAAGTCTTCAGCCATACATCTGCCCTATCATCTATCTGATGCTGCGTTCCCAATTGTCTGGCCATTTAAAGACGTTCAACTGCCCCATCTGTGTTGAAGATAGGGCTCCTAGTGGATCTATTGATTTACTGTTATCTGTCAAGCGCTAGACACACCCCCCTTCACAACACAGACCGATCTAACAACAGAGTGCATTTGATTGATGATGAGTACAGAGTAGGCCTTTTGGAGCTTTAAAATGATTCCCATCCAGCTGTGTGTGAAGGACAGTGGCAGACGGTACCCTCTTGATTGTCCTGTCATTGATTTACAATTAGCTCAGAGCAAACTGCATCCCTCCTAATGGTTCTCCACTGTGTCACACTTCCTTGAGTGATAACAAAAACACAATTGGAGAGAGGAGATATAGCCAACAAGGGAAAAGGACGATGAAAAAACTGACCACGAGGATAAAAGAGGCATTCATCCTTTTATTTTATGCCTTTTCTAAAAATAGAAAATGTCTTAGATATGTTTTCTCTAGAAGGCATTGTTCTACTTAATAAACAAAAATAATTTCAAATCCTACAGCAACCGTAAAACCCTCATTAAATTAATGTTCATATTTAAGGAGATATATTAAATAAATATGTTCCAACGACATACACATGGAAAGTAAAAGGTAAAACAAAAGGTTTCTTTTCAGTATATCCATGTACTTCTGCCATATTTACTAATGTTTAATAGTTTTACTGCAGAGATAATAGTTCCTGGCTACACATAACTGTAAGCCTGTGTCTTGTATCAATCATCTAATCTTTAGGTGGTTAAAACGCTTGTTTTGTCATCATAGTGTAAATGGAGATAAGCTGCAATGTCAAATGTATGTGCAATAGTGTGGGTATGTCCATTATTCTCTCTGTGTTTATTTGCAAAAATATTGCTAACTTTTATTTCCTACATACTGAATGTAGTACAACATTCACAACATCAAGTTCTGAAGAAGAGGCAACAAGAAATATAAAACATACATTTCAATGTATTCCCCTTGAATAAGACATTGAAGTGTGAATAGGAAATCACTACCTTTCAGCCCAACAAAGGCAATGGAAAGCAGTGGTAATGTTGGTGTGGAGGAACAGTGATCCAAAATCACCTCCATGTGCACAGGGGCATTCTTCTCTAAACCCTAGCATCTGTGCACAGATGTATTCAGTTTCATCTCCTGGCACACACTGCTTTTTAGGAAGATGTCCCCTATAAACTGCTGGGATTTAATATTAGCACAGATGGTGGATTCATTAGAAGAGGAATATAATTGGATGTAATTATAGTTGGCTGCAATAACAGCAAGACTTGCAAAACAATCACATGAGAGAGTGTGATGTAAAATGTGTGGTTTGCACCGAACTCTGCAAAACAAAGTGCTGCAGTATGTTTGGCTGAAAGTACCCTCTAGCACAGTCCTTTCTGTGAAGCTTTGGAGCAGCAGCATCAAATGGGGACGGTATTTCTAACAGCAGAGATGAGGGGAATTTTGCAGGGAGGCAACTGATACATGTGGGACCCCTCTTAAGGAGAATCTGCTTATGAATGTCTGCAGCAAAATACACATGTTTTATGACCATAGCATTCAAACAGCTCAACACTGGACTGGCTCCTGAACAAGAATGTCCTTGAGTCCAAGCCCAGACTTGAATCCCTTTGAAAATGTAAAGGCCGACTATTCACTGAGAAGATGAGCTCATGGACCTCCCCTTTCAATTTAGACCAAGCTGGGACACAACTGTCTGAATAGTTTTAGTATCCCAAATTGCAGATGTCCTAACCTGACACAGATGAGTCAAAGCTTGAGATATTGCATAAACCAAAGATCTTTTGGAATTTAAA